GTAAATATGCATGCAGTTAGAAGATAAAGAAGAATGCTAGTTCAATATAGCACTCTAGTTTTTGAGTTGTACACCACTTGTGGTGGTAGCATGATAGGAACTTGGAAAAGATGGGGTAATACATGAGTTCAGCCTTTTTATGTACTCAGTTTAAATTATCTGTGGGAGACCTACATGGAGAGTCTATGGATGGATATATTGCATAAGAAGATAAGGAAAGTGACTTAAAAACTTGAATAAATATTCTCATACAGGAAGAGAATAGCCTAAGAATAAGATGGGGCTAGGATAGATCCCCAGAGAAGAATCCTGAAATTGCAAGGGATAGCAGGAGTAGAGGAGCCCTTGAAGAAGACTAAGGTTTAGAAAAGGTCAGAGGAAAACATGGATACTGTAATGAAACAAAATGCAAAGGAAATAAGCCTTTTAAGAAGGAAGGAGTGGACAACGGTATATAATATTACAGAGGAGTCTGTAGGATAAGAACTTCAAAGAGTACCAAAGATTTAATCATGTTAGTTATCTTGTGAACAATTCCAGTGAAATGCTGTAAGGAGGTAGCCATATCGCAGTGGGCTGAAGCACAAATGTTCATAAGTCAACAGAGACTTGGCTTTGTCTACTATTTCAAAAACTTTATCTGATTTGAGAAGAAAAGAGAAGAGTAGCCAGAGGGAAAGGTATAAAGCCATTTTGACGGATACTGGAAATACAGAAGAAAAAATACTGATGGCAAGAGAGCCTAAATTATATGGGATGCTTGGGATCCAGAGCACATTGAGGACATTGGGCTTAGGAGGAGTGGTGCCTCTTCTATTATGATAGATAAGACAGGTACCTTTGCACATATGTCACTACATGCATCTGCTCACTACTGTTTCAAAAGTAAGCCTAAAGAAATGGGTGCGGTGAGATGGAAAGGACCCAGATATTAGTGAGATACCCTTCAGGTTAATTAGACCTATTTTCTGATTAGATGTTGGTACTTAAGAAATGAACAGTCAAGGTTGACTCCAGAATATCTCATCTGGATGGCTTGGGAATTCAGGAGGAAAAACAGACTTAGTGGGATGATAATATTAAACAAGTTGTGACTCTGAAGTTCAGCTGGATATAAGAACATTAAATAAGATAGAGGTTGATGATACCTAGTCCTCTAGGCTGCCAGCCCCATAAAGTCATATACAGTGTCTATCTAGCTGACTATCGTTAGAAGCCAGCACAGTGCCCGATATAGAGTAGAGGGGATGGGCTCCTAGATACTTGTAGAATAAGGAGCAGCAGCATTTAAAGGAATCTTTAAAGGACCCTGAAAAGGAGCATTTAAAAAATGGTGTTGCAAAGTCTTGAAGAGAAGAGAATTTTAAGACAAGGAAATGGCCTATGTAGTTGAATTCAGTAGAGAGGTCAATGAAGATAAGGAATAAATATGTTTGTTAGAGAGAACAGTTTAAAGACTCCTTGGTAAGGACAATTTCGATTTCACAAAATCAGATTGCAATAAATTAAGGAGAGAATAGAAAATAAACAGAGACAGAGAGTTGACCTCTTCAAAAAAAAAAATAACTGTTAGCCAATATATTTTAGTGTGAAAGATAACATATTACAAGAGTATAGAATTTTTTCCTGAAATCTTATATCTCATTTTATATGAGTTTATTGAATTGGGAGGCACAAATCTATAAACTGTGGGGAGGCGGGAAGGGCTTGTAGTTTAGAATATATTTAGCAAATAGATACATTTTTTTGCCTGGTAGACACTAAAATCAAACAATTAGCAGGAGAAAATATGTGCACCAGTGAAAACAGATAAAGGATTATGAATGGTCATTTGAAAATAAAAAAGGAAATACTATGATTCAGCAGATAATTGGAGAGAAAAAGATATTTTACATTATAAGACCTATAATAAATGATCATGTGAAATAATGTTAAATCTCACTAGCCATAAAGACACATAAGTGAAGACCATATTATACAATATTTTTGTAAAATTATCAACAGCTTTAAAGTATGTAATATTTCAATGTTGATGTAGGGCCTCAGTGAAACGAGTAACCATATATAGTATGTGGTAAATTGATGAAAGCTTTTAAAACTATTTGACAATATAGATTATATTGAGTTCCTCAAAATATTTCAATTTTTAGATATGTTATCTTGAATTTCACCTGAAAAGATAATTAAATGAGATAATTAAAAACCTGTCATTAACAAGTTGGTACATCATCATGTATAACCATTAAATTTATGTTTAGGATAAGATTCACGTTACCTGAAATTCATTTGTTATAGTACTAACTGAAAAGTAGGATGTGTAAAATGCATACAATTTTATGTAAAAAAAAAGCAAAGTAAAATAATTCTATGAAAAAATAACTACAAAGAAATGCCTTTAAAATATTATCCAATGGTTGTCCTTAGATAATGGGATTTTTGTGTATTTTTTTTAACTTTTTACTTTTCTGTATTTTCTAAATTGTCAATAATGAGACTTATTTTTATAATAAAAAGTTTAACAATTCGTTTAAATAAAATCACACAAATTTGTGTTTTGAAGTAAAGAAGACTATATAGACAGCAGTAATTAGGAGACAGCAAGAATCAAAGGAAAACCTTTTTCTTAGGTTGATGATACAAGAAATTAAGGAAGCAAGACCTAGAGAAGTAGAAAGCACAGTAGGTAAAGTGTTTTACTTTCTGAAGGCAGAATGATGGTTCTTCTAAACTGAAAGGCAGGATTTATTGGACAGCTTGCCTAGATACTGATAAGGATTTGTTAAGTAATCCAGGTCACCATTTTTCTTCCTCCTCAAGATGCTAAAAGCAAGACTTCTGCAAACTTAAAAGAGTAAATCTTACTTTTTCCTTCTTGGTGACAGGCGTGATCCTGAAATGGTTTAGCCAAAACAGAATCACCTTCTCCAGCATTTGAATTGCAGTATATTCGTGTACACCCAGCCAATTTCGTCACTACATTTGTTGTTTCTTACATGAGCTCATACCAATATGCCAATCTATACCTAAGGTTTAAAATGGTTAATATGAATTGGACCCTTACAGTGAATTCTCTCATCTTTACTCAGGGATTGTTGTCTAGAACTGTGGCTGAGTTCTGATGTAAAACCTCTTAAGATTTATGGATTTTTATTGTAGAGTTGAGGAAAACTTTGCAAAATGAGTACTTCAAAGTGTGACTAACTCAAGCATTACTATTTAAAAAAACAGAAAGATACAGAGATACTTTTTATTTTTAGCTAAAAGTACACTTGTTACAAAAAGATTTTCTACATGTTAAGAGTAGGTAAGTTTCCAGCTCTGGGTTCAGTTGATTATCAGGGTCACTGAATCCTGTTTTCTCTCACTTCATTCATGAGTCCAACATCTGGACTGGTCAACCAAGAAAGGCAGATAAAAGGCTGGGACTTTGCTGGAGAAGAGACTAAACTCTGTATAGTGGATGGATATGGCAATGTCAAATCTTTTTCCTATTTGAGTGTCTTTTACAGTTTTGTATGAGGCCGTTTATCCAGATGGTGTCTGCTCATGGATTCAGTGGTCAGCCCTTGCATGTGAAGTAATTGTTCCTCCAATATAACAACTATGGGTGGGTTTGCTTAAGCTCAGGATGGAAAGGGGTATGACTGTTTTAGAAACATTAAGTACCATGAGAAGTAACAGAAAGTTAACTTTAATAAATAACATAGAATTTAGAGAAATAAACATTCTGATTTTTAGTTTTTCTGGGAACTGGCTCTAATATCTTCTTTGATTGAAAACTAGAGTCATTTTACTAATTATTAAGAGCAACTTTTAAGAAAAAAAAAAGACATGATAGATATATCATCCTCAAGATAGAATGACAAATGATAAGCTTATGTATGCATGTGTATGTGTGCACGTGCATCAAGTATTCAAAATAGGCTTTGTACCATGCTTCATTTGTTTTCCAATCAATTTGCAAATATAAGATCTATGGTAAAAGAATAGTTCAATTTAATAAACTGACATTTTAAGTATCAGGTTTTAAATTATAGCATTCTTGTGAGTTTGATTACCATGAGTTAGTTTTCAAGAGGTACCTTTCCCTGATGCACTGTCAATCAAACCTACAAAGTTATTAAGTCCTTAAACATGATGATGGCACCAAAATAAGAACAGCCTATAAGATCAATTTCATTGAGAAATACTCTAAAACAACAGATCTTCGATGTAATTCTGAAATGCACAACATCGATGTAGCTGTAATGCCTGCAGATTAAAAAAAAATACAAATATACACATATATAGAACAAATTTTACATTTGAATGTAAGAATTGGATTTTTCTTTTTATTTATTTTTGCTATTTCTTTTCTATTTGTTACCTTGTATTCTTTTATTTCTTTTCTTTCGTATTTTCCATAAACATCTTTATGGAAAGCATGTTATACTTCCTCCCTTCTATCTTTGAAATAGCTGTTATGGCATAAGCACAGGTTTCTTAATCCTAATATAAATGTATTCCTAGCTTTAAAAAGTATATTATCTTACACAAACCAAGCTTAGTTTTATATAAAATTAAAATTAAAATACCCTCAATATAATTTATAAATTCTACATTTATAAAATTTAATTTAAAAAAATAAATAAATAAAGTTAGTATAAGAACAACCACCCTTTAAAATAAGTCTAAAAAGATACTATATTGGAGAGATATTCTTTTTGCACTACATTTCAACCGTCTATCAAAAATAATTCTTTTAATTTTATAATTATAAAAATAAGAAAACTCATAAAATATTGGTTGTATTAAAACATTTCCTTTGATTTTCAAAATAGATGGGTTTGACTCAAGCAGGAAAAATGATCTGTAAATTACTGACATTTTTTACAGATTTATCTCCCATGACTTAGTCACTTTTTTTCTTTCTTGTGATAAAATTGTTAACCTAGGCTGAACTGCATTGAAAAAATTTGATCTCCTTAAATACCAAATAAAATTTTCACATTTTTTCCCAGGTAAAGAAAAAGAATTTACCTACAAAGACACCATGGCACATGAAAAATTAGAAAGGAGTAAAGAATATACATACCAATGGCTTCACACACAGATTGGAGTTCATGAAACAACAAGTTCCAGAAATATGAAATGGTGAGGTCATTTTTTTAAATTAGATTTTTGTATTATAAACATATCTTGAAAAGTGAAACCTAGATTAATTGTGCTAAAATAAATATGACTTTATAACCACAATGCCAAGTCATAAAAAGGCCTCTCATATAGAATAAATTTAATCATTCTTTATATTTTTACTCTAAAATGTTTGAGAACTCTTTCTGAAATGCTTAAAAACAACAGATGAACTACACAAATAATTCTACTTTAAAAATAAAACACATGATATTCATTAACTGTTTGTAAATATCAAATGTATTGGAGATTGTATTTTATTTTGTGTTATTTTTGTTGTCCTTTATATTTGGCAGTTAAAATTATAATTCAACTCTAATGCTGCCACTTTACCTGTCATGTAACTAATTTAATAATATCTCAGTGCTCAGTTTCCTCTTTTTTATAATGAGATGATAATATTTTATCTATCTCAATATAGAGGCGAACTCACAAGTTTGAACATATTAGATGTTTCATTTAGCAACAAACGAAGTCAAGTAATTTTAGTTACATTAATGTATGTATTAGTTTGCTAGATCTGCCATAACAAAATATCACAGATTGGGTGGTTTAAACAGCAGAGATTTATTTTCTCACAGTTCTGGAGTTTACAAGTCCCAGATCAAAGAGTCAGCAAGGTTGGCTTCTTTTGAAGTCTCTCTCCTTAGCTTGCAGATGGCCACCTTCTCAGTAAATCCTCATAAGATCATCCCTCCATCTGTGTGTCTGTGTTCTAATCTCTTCTTGTAAGGATATGGGTCTTATTGAATTAGGGCCCACCCATGAGACCTCATTTTACTTTATCTTTTTTAAGACCCTATCTCCAAATACAGTCATATTCTGAGGTATTAATTCTGAGGGTTAGGTTTTCAATATATGAATTTTGAGGGAACAAAATTCAGCTGATAATGTAATATAAAACATATATATGCATTACTACTGAACCAAAGTTATAAAGAAGGAAAAGCCCAGAGATAATATTTTCAACATAAATTTTAAAACTTTCCTTTTAGCTACATATGTTCACAAAACAGTAAAAAATGTGGTATTTTAAGCATTTATTAAATATATAAACCATTATTGAATCTAAAAGTAGATGACACTTTGGAAATTTTTCCAGGCATTGTGGATAATAACTAGTTAAATGAGTAACGAACAAACAAAATCCTATAATTATGAGGATTTAAATTTAACAGCAAGTTAAAGTGTATAAAAAGAAAGCTTTTTTATAATATATATAAATTTAAACCTTCATATGTGGTCAATTTTATAGATGTAATTTTTTAATATGGAAAAGAAAGTGAAGATTGAAAGTAAAATTAAAGTATTTTGTAATCTGGGTTGGTTATGTTCTATTTCGTTGTAAGCAGAGAAAGTAGAAATAAAGCTATCGACATTTGAGAATTTTTATTTTACTGAATATTCTAATTAATGTTTTATGTTAGTATTAATCAATTTAGTGTAATTCATAAAATGAAATCCTTAGAACCATAAACAAATATAATATAACCCATAGCTTACTACCTATATTAACCAGGTATAAGAGGTCTGGTTTAGGAATTTTAAAACATTAGTATAGATAATGTGAAAAATAAAAGCAAAATGTTTTAGGATATACTTTAGATATGCTTACACATTTAATGATATCCCTTACTCTTAAATAATTTATATTTAAATATATGATGCAATAGGCAATTGTTTATGGATTTTCTCTTTTGAAAAAATATAAAGGACTAGGTAGTAAAATTTTAAGAAATATTGTTTTCAAGAATGGAAGTTCTTGAAAAGTCAAATGTTAATGTTCTAGTTTTAAACAGAAGTTAATTATGAGCATTAGTATAATGTATTAAACACACTCAAGCTACTTTAAAAATAGAAAGCTTTGCCTTTCTCATAAAATAAGTAAAATATACATAAGCAAATGTAAATAAAACATTTATTTTTTTATAATTTATTAGCTACTATTATTGGTACTTTCAAATTTTTTGCTTATTGTATGTGTTTATGTTTGGCAAAAAAGGGTAGCATTAAAGTGTTATATAGAAATTTAAATTTTATGTTAAAAATAATTTTTAAATGACAATGGAAAGATGTAAATTTTTATATGTATTTGCATGTAACCTAATTTAATAAAACTATTAGTCCCATTTTATAAACTATTGATTTCTCACAAACTTTTTACTTAGCATTTTTTTCATATTCTTCCTCTAAATTTATGTAATAATATGATTTCTGTTTTTGTCACTACGCAGCAACCATTTCTTGCCTGAGTTAGATCCAGATGTACGTAATGGTGGAAGAGTTCAGCTTGTGGTAAGAAATGTATTTAAAGTTACAGAAACCATTGTAGATACCAGTATTCAATAAATGGCACTTTAAAATATGTCCATAAATTAGTGTAAATTATGAAAATATCACAACTGTAATTATTTGGGATAATATCAAATATTATGTATTAAGTAATAACATGTTTTCTCCACTCGTAATATAACTATAAAATATTATTTCCACATGGAAGATTTTTAAATATTATCTTTCTATAGTATTCAAAATAATATTATTCTAGACAGGAAATTGCTTGATGAAATTACTTTTTAGAATACTTGAGTGAAACAGCAAAGTACCCTCACAACTCAGAAAACTAAACTAGATAAAAATTAACAAGTAATTGTGAACTCAACCACTCTAAATAATAAAGTGTAAATTATCAGAGTTTTAGGAAAAATCAAGTTCTTAACATGGTGACTAGATCGTAGGCTCTAGACAGTATAACTGTATGTGCATTGCTAAATTTGATTGTACTATAGGCTATTAGAAGGAAGACTATGTTAACAAGAGAGTAGCCACTATGGAGTCTAGAGAAATGAAGCCCACAAAACGAGAAAATTTCAGTGTGTTTCCAGAAATTTTCAGAGAAGAGGGTACCTTGACCAATGACGGAGGTGTGTGGCCTTGTTGGCAGGTAAAAATGGATGCATCAGGTGATTCTAACTTTATGACACTCTCCATTTATATCAACCAACTAACACTCCTTGGTAAGATTCTATATTCACCAAGAAAACTGATTATAATTTAGCTTGCCATACAGCATTTAGTATAAAAAGGTAATGTTCTTTTTAATGTTATCCAGAATAGTTACATTCATCATTCTCATGAACAGCTCATTTAAAGAGTTTTCCTGAAAGAGGAGCAAAATTAGAGCAATAACTAAAATTAATGTTTATGAAAATATTTAGAGAATGTAGATTTGAAATAAACGCTCTGCAAATATTTCCTTTCATTTTAATAGATACTTCTCTGGCAGGCTGGCATGGGGATTACTACAGGAAAATTGGTACTTCATTCTATTAACAGTATACATATTACTGACTAACACTTTCCCACATGTTGAATGGCCACTTTTTTGGAGCAAGAATGGGGAATATAAAAGTGCCAAAGAATGCCAGGATGAAGGAGAAAAATATTATTGTACTCCTAAAAATGAATGAAAACAGATTGGGTAGATTATTTACCAAAATAGTTCTTTGAGACTAATACTCTGACATTAATCACCTTCTTCCATATACCACTGTATTATACAACATGTAAATATATGACAAATACATAACAATGATAAATGCTTTTTTTCATATTGAAGATGCACAACTGAACACAAAAACACAGTAAATGGTAGAACATAAACCCACAGATTGTGTGTGTGTGTGTGTGTGTGTGAAGAAGGGAGAGGGAGACAGGAGAAGGGATTAAGCAAGGACTTATGCCAAAAGGATACTGGGCTAACTGAAGGCTCAGAGTAGAAATCTTGCAGAGTGTTAGGGAATAAAAGCACCTGACTTGTGTTTGGGAACTGGACACAGATAATTGCCTGACTGAGAAGGACCACAACAAAGAGAAAAATAATTTTTTTAAAGATGCAACTGCCTCTACTATACTATTCTCAAAGACATAAAATAATATCCATAATAAAAGGACAAAAATTATAAAACAAAAATAATTAAATTTTAATTAGAAGACAGATTGATATGCACGGGAGTCTATTATAAACTCTGGAAATAATATATATTTTATATATATATATGTATATATATATATAGAGTATCTATTATAAACTCTGGAATGGATACCATAAAAGAGAATTAGTGAATTGAAGGATTTATCTACAAATGAACAATTATTAGATTGACAGCTGACATCAGATCGGAAACTCCATACCAAAAGACAATGGAATTATTTTTTAACATTAGGGATATATATAAATATTATCTACTTCACTAGCTTTTAAGGGTGGGGACAGAATAAAATATGATCGAACATTTAAACTCTGAGTTTTGATAACATATTTGTCTTCCAAATAAGATCAAAGCATATTATGTAACTGATAGGAATGAGAAAAATGAAAATAAAATGCCATGTTACTTATTTTCAAATATATATTAGGTGTGTTATTGATCTAGACTATCATATCGCTGATTAAACTTATCCTCCAATACTTCAGGATTTTCCTACAGAGACAGTGATAATTCAGGTTCCCCAGGAATATACTCTGAAATTTTTATATTTAAGTATAGAATATTGCTGGAGGCTTTCAGGAACAACTCCTTTGAGAGATTAAAAAAGCAGGATAGAGAACACGCTGGATCCCATCTGATCTCGGAAGCTAAGCAGGGTCGGGCCTGGTTAGTACTTGGATGGGAGACAACCTAGGAAGACCAGGTGCTGTAGGTGTAAAAAAAACCAAGAAGCAGGATAGTGCAGACAGCTAAAGTGAACTGCAATAGATTTGCAGCAGAGGTTATGAGATGTAGTGGCGGTAAGGCCCTTATGAGTTGTTCCAGGTTGAGGCAAGAGGACCAGTATTTTACGCTCCTTCATTGGCTCAGGAGAGGGTGTGACTTGGGCAAAGAAGCTCTTTTCAGCAAAGGACAATTTCTAGAGAGGGAGTTAGCTGAGAGCTACCAGGTTTCAATTTTCTCAGCAGAAAGAGGAATCTGATCCAGTTGTTAAAAGTGATCTGAGTGGATATCATAACAATCACTATACTCAGTATGTTCACCATTCATGAATGCAACAACTAAGTGTGTACAGTGTAAATATATAAATTAAAAACAATTCTGAACAGCTGGTTTTTTTTTTAGGAACTTGAGAAATCTCATTGTAATATGTGTGTTGATGAATAAAAACCCAAGATTATATAAGTAGCTTTGAAAAAGTGGAGCAGCTGGTGTCACAAAATATAAAGACAGTACAAAGCTAAAGTAAACTTTATGGTGTTGCCACAGGCATGGGTAAATAGACCAATGGATGTGAATAGTAAGTTCAAGAATAGACCTATGTCTATATTGTAATGTAATGTGTAATAAAGGTAGGAAAGGTCAGATCATTTGGTAAACAGCATTCAGTAAACTAGCGTTAAAAAATATCAGGCCTATATATAGACCATTTACACTCTTAAGAGTAGTCAAATGGGATTCAGAAGGTTTGAAGACTCAAATGTGAAGGGTAAAACTATAAAACTGATCAAATAAAAAAGAATAGCTTTGCAACTTAGCAGTGAAAAAAGTCTTCTTTAAGAAGATACAAATAGTTCAAATTATATGGCAAAAATTGATTGTGTTAAATTAAATATTCTTTTCTATGAAGAATTTTATAGAAAAAGTTAACAAATTATAGACATGGACAAACTATTTTCAGTGTCCGAAACTAGCAGTAGATTAATATCTAAATATAAAAACTTCTGCAAATGAACAATATAAAGTCAGGTAACCCAACAAAAAAGAAATATAAATACAATAGAAAAAGAATATACATAGACAGTTTGCAAGGATGATGTTGAATTGCATAAATGTATATAAAGAGATTCTCCGTTACATGACCAGAAGAATAAAAATTAAAAGTAAGAAGTTACATAACTCTACTCATCAGAATGGCAAAAATTAGACAAATGGGTTAATGTAAGTGCTGTCAACAATGTAGAAACACTTATGTATGGCTGGTGAGAGTAGAAGCTGGTACAGCCATTCTGGAAATAAATAAAATAAAATAATTACAATATCAAGTGAAGACGAATATGTGGATCAACTGAATCTTTCATACATTGCTGCTGAGAGTGGTACAACCACTGGAAAAAAAGTAGTCAGTTTCTGATAACATTAAATACCAATTAACATACAATTCAACAATTCTACTCTGAGCACTTTCCATAAAGAAATTAATTTAAGTTTAATCAAAAACCTATGCATAAATATTAATAGTGTTTTTATTTGTAATGGCCAAAAATTATAAACAACTAAAATCTCATTCAGTAAGTGAAAGGATAAAATATATGTATATATACACACACATACAAAAAATTAATAAAAAGCAATAAACAAACTTTTGATACATACAAAGACTTTGATGGATCTCAAGAGCATTATGCTGAGTGAAAAGAAGACAATCTCAAAAGATTATATACTGCATGATTTCATTTACATAATATACTCAAAATCATATAATTATAGTAATGGAGTACATATTAGTGGTTGCCGGTGGTTAATTTGTGGTGGAAAGAGTATGTCTTTAAAACGAGAGCAAGGGAGTTTCTTTGAGAAGATGGAACAGTTCTGTATCCTGATTGTGATGGTAGTTATACGAATTTATGCATGTGATAAAATGTCATAGAAGTATGCAAAAAATTGTACATGTGAAAATTGGTGAAGTCTTAATAAGGTCTGTGCTTTAGTAATGGTATTGCATCAATGTCAATTTCCTAGTTTTATTAATCTCACTTTGGATATATATAAGATATCATTGGGACAAATTGGGTAGAGGGTATACAGAGAATTTTCAGTACCAAATTTGCAGTTTCTATGGGAGTTTTAAATTATTTCGAAATTTAAAAAAATAATTAAATGGTTGAACTTTATGTTTAAGTTCTGTGCATTTCACTTTATATAAATTATAGCTCTATAAAACATTTAAAGTGCCTTTCATGCCCATATACGTTATATAACAAGGCTTCTGCCTTATTATATAAGAAAAGGGGTTTGTGCAATGATGATAATGTATTTAAATGTAGAGCTATCCGTAACTCAGCTTTCTGCAACCAAAAATAAAAAATGGTTTCAAATCACTCATGTGTCTAGAAGTACTTTAAAATTCTTTGAAAACCTATACGTAGAAATACCTATAAGATAGCTCATGAGTGGACTTCACTTTTATAACATTTCTCTTTTTAAAAACTATTTAAATAATAAGTAAATATTCATTTTTATGTGTGCCATTTAGTATGCTTTAACTTCTAAAAATATAAAAGTTTACAAATAAATATTTAATAAAAACGTGTTTGTGAAAAGAAAAAAAAAGAGAAACTCCTTGTTCTTTATTAAATGAGAGAGATTCTCTATTTTTAATTAAGTCATTTGGGTTGGATGTGAATCAGGATCTAGATGTTTAGAAGTCAAGTTCCAAAATTCATACCCCTCACTTCATTGTGAAAAGATGGAGAAAAAGTATTACAAACCTTGTAGATAGGGGCTACAGATGTGACCTATTAAAGAAACAAACACCTAAAGCAATTTTGCAAAATTACTATTTAATAAATATCTGCTATTGAATTGCACATAAGAAAATTCTTACCTGACATTAACTTGAAATTGTTTGTGTTATAACCATACAAAAGGTTTAATATTACAGTGTTTTAGAATTGAACATATTTTTTGTAAAATTAGTGATAAAAATTGTGGTCAGTTATATTCAGTTTTTAAGTATATTCGTTTCACATGATATAGAACACATGTATTTTCCTTATGATGTCTCTATTCGTTAACAGTAAGAGGAGGAATAATGTTAATTTTGAAAACCAATGTTTTCAAAAATAGAGTCTGAATATTAATGCATATGTGTCTATGTCATATGCACTAATGGGCCTGTAACTAGACACTTTATAAAATTTCTAGGTTTACATTTAAGCAGCTAGGTGGCACCGCTGTGAAATCACATATTCCTGTTAAATTTCACTTCTAAATTTGAATTCCTATTGTAATTTGGCCTAATTAGTAACTGACATTAATTGTTTTCTATTTTGTACGAAACAATCTTTTAGAGATTAATGGCTTAAATGATAACAAGATTTTTGGAAGGCATGTGTTCACAAATATTTTCTTGACATGTAGGTATTGTCTTATTTGCAGAGGGTAGGATTTCTACTTCCTATTTAGGCATAGTGAAATTATGTCATTGAATTGAATCAAATACCTGATTTTAAAATCTTGACACTTATACTTAAATCCTCTTTAGCCCCAGGCAGGTCCGCTATGTGATTAACATGTTTTTCCTTATTTTATAACTGGTCTCACAAAATTGTGGTGTTGCTTTGTTATTTCCCCCTTATTCTTGGCTGGTTCTTTTAAAGTCTTAGTATTGATGAAGCTACTCTAATGGGAACATTAAACATCTACTCTTGTATACTCATTGAAAAAAAACTCAGAAAAAAATGTGTAGCCCTTTTCATACTAATCACAATTGGGAGCCAATTGTTCTTTATTTCATTTTCAACAGTTTTCTACTGAGATTTTTTTTGGCAATGCAATTTATCACTTAGCTAGATACGTGAAAAGGTGACTGACATTACAGAATGGTTTTTATCCTGAGTTCAGTAATAGCAAATTGCTTACTTAACAATGAGAAGTTCATGCACTTAAGGATAGGAAGGGGGATGCAAAGAAGGGCAAACATCTGAATTTGAAAAAGGATCATCTTTAGAATCTGGTTTCATGAGTTTTTCTAGCTCATCATATGGGACAGCTTTTTAAACATAGCAATGAGTGTATGGCTTTATTTTGCTCTATTTAAATTTTTCTCACATCAAAAATTAAAGACAATCCTTTCTCATAGGATTTCAAACATCCTGTGGTTTGGGTTAAACCCCAACTACTTTAAGTCTGCTTTGCTTTCCATTATTTCATTTTCCCCATTTCAGGGCTGAACCCTGATAAATCCTTACTTAATGGTATTAGACATTATGTAAAACAATATTTTATAGGCAAGAAGTTATTCTTTTAACTCTTAGGTTCAGTCCAAGATAATAATAAAATCAGATGGTATTTTTAGGTAAAATAAATGATCTAATCCTTGTGTCCTTAAAATAATATATCTTGAAATTTCTACATATTTACCAATATCTCCCAAATTAGAGGTAATATACAGTATTTTTACATCAATAATTATTATAATGAGAATGTATAGATCTTTTGTGAGTATGGTATACAATTGTGGTATGAAAAATATTTCACAGAATTTTATTGAGAAAACTAATACTTATAAGTGGTAAAATATAAGTATTGCAGAAAATAATGTTATATGGCATTTCCAACATTCAATTAAGAATAAAATAATGTTCTTGGTAAATAAGTGATGTTAAGCTGTGTAAAGTTTCATCAATTGCCTTTAAGATCGATTTTCATCAAAATTACTGTACTAAAATGTTTTCTTTTGTTGTACAGACTCAAATAGCAAACCTCAATTTCAAAATCGGCTCTTATTTGCAAAAAATGCTTTGACATAGTGCATTTGTTCTGCCTGGGCAGCAATAAAGGATTGTGGTATCATTTTGAAGAAGGTTGTTTGACAGAGCCTGTTTGTTTATTTGGGGTAATGTGAGCTACATTCAGAAAATGCCATATTTTGTTTCATGATTGTATACATTCTCTCCCATTGCTCCCAGGCACGACTTGTAAGCAGAGAAGACACGGATTTAGACCTTTTTTCCATGACCAGTGGAAGTGCTTTGTCTGTGAAGAGAGAAAAAAAAAATCAGGCACACAGACACTCAGCGGGATCTTCAAGTAAGTTGTGGTTTCCTTCAGAATTAATTTAGAAATCACAAATGAATTGATGGAACCTAATGCCAACGAGCATTCTTTTACATACAGGGGGGTAGAATGCCAGCAACCAGAACTGTCCAAAAATGTGTATTGCAATGTTTTTTCCTTAAATGTCTTCTTTTGATATAAACAAAATTAAATTATTTCTAAAATTAACAGCATCAGTTTTTATTTTAATTATATTCTGTGACTCAATGCTCTACTCTCCCGTCCCCTGTTGGATCATATTGAATTCTTTGATCATTTAGTTCTAAAAGAATTTTTAGGCTAATTATAAAAAGTTGGGTTTATATATCAAAGTAGTATATTTTGGACTTCTGTCATCGATTTAGCAGAAGTTGTAGGTAAAGTTAATTTTTAAAGAAAACTTTTTAAAAATAGATTTTATATAATAATATTATACTGTCAAGACCATGCTTTAAAAAACTATTTTCATTAAATAGATGACAGTTTATGTTTTTTAATGATGGCTTTTTACACTTGTGAACCTGTCACACTCATCTATTTCCTTTATGGTTTCAATAAGAATTGCATTGCAGTCAACCCCCAAAAAGTGTAAACATTTAAAAAATATATCCATGGTCTCTGGGGGTAATAGGTCCTAATTTTTTCAAACTCTTCACTTTACTTATACCCCAAGGGTCTTGAAATGTCTTCTAAAATATTATGGTATATTAGTAGAAAAGATGTTTTATTTGATATCATATTTTGTTAATTTCCCCAAAGTATAGTGAACCTCAAAAGTCAACACATTAGGTTACACTTCATTATAAGCATTAAGTTATTCTTGAAAAAAAGTTTTCTACTCATTGATATTATATTTATGTACATACAAAGTCAATATTTGATTTAATGTAAAAAATTCAATGATCTAGATGGTACTCTTTAGATAAAAAAAACTTCAAAATTATTCTTTGACTTTCACCTTTCACCCAGGTATTTGGCATTGTTAGATCGTAGTCATTTAAATTTACATGCAAGTTCATTTTGACAAATTTTAATTTGCTTTTTAAATAATAATTTTATTATGTCTAATTTAAAAATATTTATCAGACTTAAAAGTTTTTGGAGTGCCTGAATTTTCTTAGCTGATTATAGAATTTGGACACTAAAAGGTTGTTCTAGTCAATATGGTTAAGAAATAAATACTTCAGGTTTATTCACCTAATACAATTTTTTTTACATTATTAACATATAAATTACATCAATTTTTCAAATATATATTATATTTCAGAAGGAATCAAACATCTATTATGTGTCATGCATAATAATGAATAATACTATATCCATTTTAAACATTGCATATTGCAAGCTCATATGATATCACTTTGGAGCAGTGTAGATAAAAAGAAACAAACCAAACTAAACAAAAGCAAAAAACATTGCCTTATGACTTTACAGAATATCAAAGTTTCTGTTCATAATGTATCATCTGAATGTTAAAATATAAAGAGCTTAATAAATCAGCAACAATCTTGAAATACACAGCCTTTATCTTTTACTTACATAACAATGAATCATAGATTTTGGAGTATATGAGATTATTACATAGAATTCATTTCTTAATACATTCTTTAAGAAAGAAAATAAGGCTATTCTCACTGTAATTCCAGTAGTTATCAATAAGTGACATTGTGGCGCACACTACTGATCCCTAAAATGTTTACTAAGTGACAATTTAAGACAAGCCATTTTAGAAAATAGTTTTTATTAAATAACAGAATACTACTTACCTAATTATTGTAGTTACTGGTTTACTATAACATCAGTATAATATAATAGAAAAGAGTGTGAGCTCTGACATCAATTTGCCTGCACATAAATCATGATTTAATTTCCTTATCCTTAAAGTAGGAAAGATATTGGAAGTACCTACCTTGTAGAACTGTCTTCAGGATCAAATGTAGAGCATTTGAACAATATTTGGCACATCATAAGAGCTTAATAAAAATGTTCTTTATAATTACGACCTACACATAGCTGTAAAGAAGATTCAATTGAGGTAAGATATTGAAGTCTCTAGAATCTAGGCACATGGACTAACTAGCTCAGATTATAAGAAACCTATTCTTAATAGTTGCTTGACTAAAAACAAACTTGGCATAGCTTATTTTTTTATAAAATTATTTTATCCTTCTAAGTTGTTAGGTCCTGGGCCTCCTTGGCCCTGGGCCAACCACTTACAATTTTGGTATTTTGAAAGCTCTTTTTCCCCCAGCTTTCTCTGTCTCTCTCAAAAACTTGTCACCTTATTAAAGCTTAAGTATTTCTTTTAGCCTTGCAAGCCAAATCTAGAGAGTAGTTTATGGGCTGCAGCTATAAAACTCTTTCAGCCTTTGAACTTTTCTAGATAGTTCTCTTTCAATGTTACTATAATGTTTGTAACATGTATTCTTTAAAATCAGATAAACTCAGGTTTAAAACTACAATAACTTGCATAACCTTGGGTAAATTATTTAACCTCTAAGAATGAGTTTACTATCTGAAAAATTTGAATAGTAATATTTATCTCATAGAGTTTTAGTGAAAAGAAAAAATATATGCAAAAAGTAAATATATGTGCAAAGTATGTAATATATTGCCTAAAATGTAGTAAGGGCTTAAAGAATAATACTTGTTATTTATATTGTTTGTTATTGTTGTGTTTTTATATTGCTGTTGCATAATTTTAAACAATTTAAAGGTAGAAATGTCTTCCTTTTCTGCGTGTCAAATAATACCAGAACTAACATACTTTCAGCATGCCAGCCATCTCAAGTAATCTCAAGCCATCTCAAGTAAGACATACTGTCTCTACTTAAAGAATTTCTTAAATTTTCTGTCTCTTTACTTTTAGGCCTTACTGCTCTCTTACAACAGGCCAAGGCAGTCTTCTGCTACCTAGCTTTCTAATTTACCTTATGGTTTCAAGAGAGATATAAGAAGTCACATTCTTATTTAAAAATTGCCATTTGTAAAATGAATATGCCAAGAAGTTTCCTCATTTAAACAATATTTAGAAAAAAATATTTGATGTCTTTAAATGACTGTGATTTCCTCAATTATCTTTCTTATTTAATGCTCAAAATAAATGCTATATTACAATAATAATAATTTTATTGCTATAGAATTTATAGCTTTATGAATTTTTTTTCATTATTTTTCTTTGACAGCTAATATAAATACAACTCAGAGAGTTTAATTAATATGCCTTTGGCACAAAAGTCTTAGCAAGGGAAAGCAGCAATTTGCACTTACCTTTTCTTGTTCCAAACCCAATGTTGTATTGCCTTTTATTTTTCTATGGACTAAAATATATAGCTTAGTTGGTAACAATAGGACATAATTAATATAGTTCTGATTCACTCATTCATTCATTCATTCATGAGCCATATATTGAATGATCACTGCTTACTCTTTACCTCATTTAAGTTTCGAGTTGCCTCCTTCTAACCATCTCTGCACTTTCCAGGACATATTCCATTTTCAAAGTTAGCCATGGATTGAGAATCCAAAATCTCTCTGTAATAGTAGATAATCAGCCCGAAGTCAACTTCTTTGAGCATATCTAAATTTTCATGAAATGTAAGTCCTTTTAATACGATACTGAATTTTCTGAATACGGGGAAAAATATTAAAGAAATGAAGCAGCTAATGTAGTTAAAAGGATTAAGGAAGGCTTCTTTTTTGTACCTATAATAACACTTGGGATTTAAATAAGGAAAGATAATCATCTAAACAAAGGCAAAGGGTAAAATATGAATATGTATTTGTGAAACATTGAAGAATCAGTCCAGAGCTTCCACATACTAAGTAATGCAAAATGAAGTTGGATTAAAATGAAACCTAGTTTTAGGTAAGTTTGAAAGTAAAGTGGAGGAAGAAGTGGACTTTCCAACCGATAATGCATAACTAAGATTTCTGAAAATACCTTAGCGTTTTTGAAAGCTTAAGATCAGTTGAAGAATAGTATTCTGATTCAATCCTAACATTATGCAATGCTTCCAATATACTGACAAAGTAATTTTTATAACTCTTATCAATATGCGGAAGCTTTGCATAATGTTAGGAGTTGAAAACTTATGTCCACACAAAAATCTGCACGTGGATGTTATAGCAGCTTTAATCATAATTGCTGAATCTTAGAAGCAACCAAGATATCCTTTAGCAAGTGAATGGCTAAATAATCTGTAGTACATTCAGATAATGGAATATTATTTAGTACCAGAAAGAATGAGCTACCAAGCCATGAAAGATAGAGGAAACTTAAATAGATATTAATATGAGAAAGACGTCATTCTGAAAAGGCTGCTTACCATGATTTCAAGTGACATTCTTGAAAAGACAAAACTATGGAAACAGTAAAAATATCAGTGGTTGCCAGGGTTTGGAGTGAGGTGAGATCACTAGAGTTGAGCACAAAGCCTTTTTAGGGCACTGAAAATATTCTGTATGATACCATAATGATGAATACATGTCATTCATTATACATTATTCCAAACTCATAGAATGTACAAAACCAAGAGTAAATGGTAATGTAAACTATGGACTTTGGGTGGTTATGTCACATCAGTTTAGTTTCATCAATTGTATGAAGGTTCCTCTCTGGTGGAGGATGTGGATAATGAGGGAATCTATGCATGAGTGGGGGCAGGTGCAGGTGGGGAAACTCTACTTTCCCTTCAGTTTTGCTGTGAACCTGAAACTGCTCTAAAAAAATAGTCTTAATTAAAAAATAGGGGGGAGAAAAGAAAAAAAAAGGGAAAAGAAAAGCTCAGAAGGATGTTTCTTGCCAGCTATTACCTGAGACTTACTTTAGAATAGGTAGGATTTAGAATTTAATTTTACAAATGTAAATTGCCTTGAGTTAAGGAGACAAAAAGTTATAGAGTTAAGACTCCAACCTAGGTCTTGTGATTCCTACTGTAAAGATGTTAATTGCTTCCCATTGAACTTTTCTGCACCATAAATGTTTTGCTTCTATCTCAATGTAAAGATGGAGCAAAACAACACT